GCATTATCTAAAAATCAATAGCAATCGATTTAGGGCGTGGGATCATAAAAGACGGCATCAACATGAAGACAAGGAGAAGAAAAGTATCAAGAAAGATATCAAAAAAGTGGCCGGCAAAGCTCGTCTCGGCGAGCACGAGTTCATTTCCGTATGTTTATTAGGAGTTATGCGTGTGTTTAGTAAAAACCCAGTCGAATTTGATTGTGGAATTTTTCGACTGGTTAGAATAGCATCATTTTTCAAATATTTCCTAGGATCGATTGGAATTTCAGCTGGAGTCAGTAATGGCCGAGTTTAAACTCTCCAATAACACACTTCGACGAATGATGTCACATATGAGTGACAACATGGACCGAGGGCTTGAAAGCGGATTACAAGTCAGTGCTAAAAATTTGACACAGATAAGAATTTCCTTCAGTTATTTTAATTTCAGTGATATAGATAATAGTATTGAAAGTAGTAGTAGTTATTCGTGTCGGTGCGAAAAATGATGTTTTTTCCTGTAAATAAGCCATCGATCAATCGGGTCGAACCTTCAAATTATTGATCTACTGATCAAATACGCATTAAGACGTCACCACGATTCTATGTAAAATTCGAAGGCGTGGCGCATCCCAGGACGTGAAAAGGTTTAAGGCTTTGTGTTGATCTGATCTATACAGATCTATACAAGAGCAGGAAATTCAAAAGTTCTCTGCGCTGCTATTCTTGTGGGGGGGGAGGGTATCAAGTTTGCAGAGAGCTCATATACCCAACACTCCCCTCCCGTAGTCTCCCATATAAGACTAATTAAACTCTAGGAAAGGCTAGCGGTGGGGGAAAGTATGTGAATAATTTTTATTTTCCCCGAAGTTCCTTCCCTTTTCTAGGCTTAGTCCCCATATCGAGAAGATATTTGGGCTGCACCATCAATTTTTTTTCTGGAGAAGTGACCACTTTCACGCAAAAACTTCATTAGTTGGTTGCACAATCTGATTTATCATTAATATTTTTTCAATTATTTGTAGTTAATTTTCCCGGCTTTCCTCTAAGAAACAAATGTTGATAGCACGTGCAGGAGGTCCAAGCAAAGCGATTTTCATTCAAAGCGAGAGGGTAAAGATGTTCTAAGGTATCAGTATAGGGTAAACTGTGCTCGTTGCGCGCGTTCAGCAAGGTCTCGTCTTTTGAGTGTTTGTTGATGGAAGTTGAAAAGCTTCTGGTGAAAGTGGGGATCGTGTTAGTTTAACGGGTTTTTCGGGGATTCTGAGAATTTTCATGAAAGGAGGCAAAAATTACAAAAAAGTTGAAGATTCTCCATTTCATATCCACCCCCTCCTGCCCCTTCCCCACCTCCATTCGACGGCCAGTGGTCGGGGAGGGTGTTTCGAACCATCCTAAACGAGGGGAGTAGTAAAATTTTTGGAATCGCGCAACGCACGGTTGAACCCGGCTACAGATATCCGGCTATCCCTGCTCTGACGTGCGCAGCTTGGGTGCTAGGCACTAACACAGCCGAACCGAATAACTGACTAGGCCCTTAACTTTGGCGTATTTATGTCAGTATGTATGTATCTATGTCGGTATTTTAGAAGTCAACTATCGCCATGTTGCCTTCTTTCGTGCCCGAGTTACCGGATGGTACAGGTTCGTCCGCCCTTATAATTCACTTGACACCCATGTCTCAGAAATTTTCCAATGAAGCTTCCTTTCCTCTAAGTTTCCATTCTGATGATTTCGTTAACCTGGATCGATATGTTTAGAACGCGGCAAATTCGTCGCTATGGATTTGGGTGGTACGAATTTACGAGTGATGATTATGGAGATTGAACCCGGTGAAAAAATGCGAACGAAACAGTTCAACACACGTATGCCGAATGCGGCAATGCATGGAACCGGAGAACAGGTACACGTTGTTTCCCACAGCCGGACTTGTCCGTAATTGCAGACCGGGTAGTACACGAACGAAAGGTTGAAAAATCTATATTACGGGTGCTTTTTTATACCATGGATACAATGTGTGTTGCTAAGCCTGCAAATACGTCATGTCCTCATGCTGGAAACGATCTGTATGCTGATTTTTGTTCTCGTTTGAAAGTATCGCAGGGTTCAAAAGCCCATGCAAAAGCTTCTGGATAAGGGATTTGTCCTCTTTTGCTGATCATGCCTCCAATTTCTCCATCATTGGCTATTCGGCCTGGTGTAGTGGCGGGTTTAAACGCATTTTTCTTACTCCTGAAAAGAGTTTTAGGCGCTATCGCAATACACAGGGCCATTGAGAACTAAGTCTAGGAGGAGCAGGATCTTCAGGGAAAATAAATCTTTTAGTTTCTAACTCCAGCCTGAGGCTTAGTCCTAATTTCAACAAAAAAGGAGACGTTTTACGCGGTTTCCAATGCAGTGCCACCACCCCCCCCCTTATTTTGCGATAGCGCCGAATTTTAATTCGCTTTAATTGGTTTTGTATTCTCTTGGAATAACCTGCAAGAACTGTTGCCTTTATTGCTTGACCCCGTTGACTACCAATCCTTATTGCTTTCATCATCAACACCTGCTCCAAGGGTTCCCATCATTCCCTTGTTCCAAGGGGATGAGGTTTGCGTAAAGGGTGGGCTTTCCGTTTCCTAACATTGAAATCAATTCCTTTTCTAGGAATATAATCGTGTAAACCTTCCCTCGCTAACGATATTATGTCAGCTGCAACAGAAAGTGGTTTTTCATTTGAAGTCGTCATGAATTCCGGGTAATGCAAAATTCAAATTTTCAGTTATTCGATTACATAGCCAAAGCGTTAGCCGATTTCCTCATCGAGAAAGATTTGGCCGACGAAAACCTACCGGTCGGCTTCACGTTTTCTTATCCATGTGACCAGACCGGTCTTCGGAGCGCCACCTTGTTACGGTAGGTGCTTGATTGCAATATATAGTTTTCGGTAGAAGTTCCACAATTACAAAGTGCTACTAAAGTTATCAATCACAAGAAAAAGGTATTTAGATGGACAAAAGGAGTCACAGCGACTGGAGTAGTTGGCAAGGACGTTGTGAAGCTTCTGGAAGACGCCATTGAACGAGATGGAGTGAGTTATTCCTCGAGTAGATAACGGATGATAGCCGAAGCATTTCAGGAAATATTTTTATGTGCAGTGTGCCTCCGGGGAAGTGGGTAGTCTATAGGAAGGCTACTAGGACTAGCTGATAAGGCCGAGAAGGACAAACTCCGGAGAGAATTAAATTTGCTTACGTCTTCTCCCCTAAGGCTTGGTCCTGAGATGAGCGTTTTCGTGACTATGACGCCCCCCCCCTCGATCCACATTGCGTCTATTTGTGACTTCGCTTCGAAGAGTCATTTTCCATTCTCTCTAGTTTCTCAGAGCTAGAGGAAAAAAATTAATTTTGATCATCCTGCAGTACAATAAATTGGTTCCTAATGTTTCAGGCGGATCAAAGTGGAAGTCGTGGCGCTGATCAACGACACTGTCGGAACGATGGTCGCAGCCGCATATGAGGCGAATGGAGAGTGCGATATTGGAGTAATCATTGGTAAGATTTAATTATTGGCGAATGTCAAGAAAACGGGTGGAAGAGGCTTGGTAGTGGCAATTGACCATACTGACCACGTACAGGCTCGCGGGATGGGGATCGAATCTTGGATCATATATAAGCTATCCAGGCCAACCAAGTTTTCCATGCGGAACCGGTACTTGGTCCCAAACATGTGGCCGGAATCTCTAACCTTATCATCTTCTTCTTCTTCTTCTCCCTAGCGTTAGTCCCGCGCCGTCGCAGGGTCCGCTGTTCTTATCAGTCGTCGCCACTTCGCTCTGTCCAGGGCATCCCCTGCAGTGGCCATGATTTCGCTTAGGTCCTTCTTGACTACGTCCTTCCACCTCTTCTTTGGGGCTCCTCGCGGTCGCTTGCCTTGCGCTTCGAAGTCCATTGCATTCCTTATTGGGTGGCCTTGTGGTCTTCTTAGCACATGCCCATACCACCGCAGTCGCTGCTCCCTCACCTTCAGCTGGACAGGGGCAGTCTGCATGACCGCTCTGACATCCTCGTTTCTGACCCTGTCCAGTCGCGTCCAGCCGCAGGCCCATCTCAGCATCCTCATTTCAGAGTGAAGCTGCCTTTCGTGATTCTTGTTCAGGGGCCAGCACTCGCTGCCGTAGAGCATCGCAGGCCTTACCACTGTTCGGTACACCTTCCCTTTGAGCGTTCTGGAGCACCTTCGGTCGCAGAGGATTCCAGTGGATTCCCTCCATTTCATCCATGCCGCGTTGATCCTCCCCTTTACTGCCTGGTCCACACTGCCGTCGGCTGCCAGATCACTCCCAAGGTATCGGAAGTCCTCCACTCTTTCGATGCTTCTCGCCATGTCCGTCCACGATCGGCTCTGCACCCTCTTCGGAGCTCAGGAACTTGGTCTTCTTGACATTCAGCCGGAGCCCACCTTCTGCCAGGACCTTCTGCCACTTCTGCACCTTGGCCTGTAGTTCCTTCTCTGCTATCCGCTATCAGGGCGATGTCGTCAGCGTAGAGGATGGTCTTTAGTGGTCCTTCCATGAGCCCCTTCACCATGGACATCTAGTGTTAGGAGGAAAGAGGAACGGGCTCAGAGCTGACCCTTGATGCACCCCAACCGTGATGTTTACCTCCTTTTGTTAGGCCGTGTGGGGTGCGTATGGCTGCCTTAGCCCCGTCGTACATGTCCTTCACCAGCGAGACCAGGTGTTCTGGCACGTTCCGTTCCTCTAAGCGCTCTCCACAGTACCGCTCGTGGTAGCCGGTCGAACGCCTTCTCCAGGTCGAGGAAGGCTAGGTAGCAGGGTCGGCGCTTTTCTCGATACTTCTCCATCACTTGCCTTGCGATGAAGATGGCATCCGTTGTAGACCTTTCGGGCATGAACCCGAACTGTTCCTGGGAGATCGGGACCAGCTCCCGCAGTTTCGAGTCGACCAGTCGCTCGTACAGCTTCATTGTATGAGCAGTCAACTTGATCCCGCGGTAGTTGGAGCAGTCCATCGCGTCACCCTTCTGCTTGAAGATGGGGACGATAGTACTTGTTCTCCAGGCATCTGGCATCCTTCCTTCCGCAGTTATGTTGTTGAGGAATCGTGTGAGCCATCTTATCCCGTACTCACCGAGCGCCTTCCATGCCTCGATTGGCACCCCATCTGGGCCAACCGCCTTCCCAATCTTCATCCTCCCAAGTGCACACCTAACCTCATCCTCAGTCCAGAGTGCGATGGGACCAGCTGTGGCCTCTGCCCGTGAGTTGTTCTCGTGGGGGAACTCCTCGTTCAGAAGTGCACTGTAGTACTCTTCCCACCTCCTCTTGACTTCGGCTGGCTTCCTTAGGATGACACCATCGCTGCCTTTCACACTTTTCACCACCCTGATGTCTTGGGTAGCACGATGCCGGGCCTTAGCCAGCCTGAAGACGAACTTCTCTGCGTTTCGGCTCTCCAACTTCTCGTACAAGGGCGTCCATTTCTGTGTTCTTTGCCCTTGCGACGGCAGCCTTCGCAAGCCTCTTGCAGGTTTTGTAGGCAGCGAAGTTCTCGGGACTTCGGCTCTTCTGCCAGCGTTTGTATGCTTCCTTCTTCCTCTTCACGACTCGCTGGACCTCCTCGTTCCAGAACCACGCTGCCTTGTCTCCTCTGAATCCACCTCGCGTCTCACCCAGGACCTCCTTGGCACATCGCAGGATGGTCTCAGCCGCGTTGCCCCAAGTCCTGTATTGGCCCGTTAGGATCTGGGAGACCGACTTCCATTATCTTTCGCCTGAGGTCATCCTTCTCCGCTTGGTGCAGCTTCCACCACCGGATTCTCCTCTCGGTTCTTACCCTTGTCTTCTTGGGGAGGTCTATCGCAATGTCTGCCAGGAGGGGCCTGTGCTGGGGAGCCAGATCTTCGCCGGGTAGAACTTTGATATCCTTCACAGTTTTGAGGGTTGATCTTCTCACCAGCACATGGTCGATTTCCGTCTGTCTCCCTCCACTGCTGTAGGTTACCTTTTGAGTCTTCCTTTTCGCGAAGAACGTGCTGCAGACTGCCAAGTCGTGGGCCGTAGCCAGGTCCAGAACCCTCTCTCCCTCAGCGTTCCTCGTTCCTATCCCTCTACCTCCGTGCACCCTTTCTAGGCCTCTTCTGTCACTGCCGACGTGGCCATTCAGATCACCTGCTATGGTCAGGTAATCGCCTTCCGGAACCGATCTTATGGCTTCGTCCAGGCTCAGATAGAACTCGTCCTTATCACTTTCGGGGCACCCGGCTTGCGGTGCGTACACGGAGAGTATTGACCAGTACCCCCCCTTCCTCTTTTCGGGGGCACCCGGCTTGCGGTGCGTACACGGAGAGTATTGTCCAGTACCCCTCCTTCGTGTCTATCCTCACAGCCATGATCCGATCGCTGATCCTGTTCACAGCGGAGACATAGTCCTTGAGCGACTCCGCTACCGCTATGGCCACGCCGTTCCGCTTGGTGTCTTCTCCATTGT